GTAGGTTTGCTGAATAATTAGGCCAAACACTGTCACACTAGGCCTTTGTTTTCTTTGTCTTGGCCTTTTGTTTTCTTTGTTTTCTAAACGGCACTAATGACGATTTGGCCTAATTATTCATCTAACTTACCAACCCTGGTTGCGTGCCACGGCATTGACTGGGGTTTTAGAATCAGAAACGAGTCGTGATTTACACAATATTTCATAGATGTTTTAGGTTTTGCCTTTATCGGTATAAAGGAAGAACGAAATTTATAATTTATTCCAATACGTTCGTGTGTTCATTCAGCATCCTTGTTATGCAAAGACGAACATATATATATATAAAAAGATTGATGATAAGGCCAACAGAACATAAGTCCTTTACTAGACAAAGACTAAGACAAAGATTACGTTGTGCATGCATACAAAACTAAATTGAACAATTAGCTAAATGGCTTGCTGGAGGGGTAAATTCAAATTAAGATAATCGTAAATCGATTATTATAAAGTCATTATTTATTAAACTCATTGTGTGGTGGTCTCTGCATGTTAATATTTTTCTTGTTGAAATTTTTGGTTTGTTTTGCACTGGTGTTAAATATTCTGCATAATCTGAACTACAGTACGTTTTATTGTAGCGGTCAAGAATAGATTAATTAGATAATTTTTATTTAAACATGGTGGTTCTATACTAGAAATAATACTTTACAAATGTTAAATTATTAAGTGTGATCTACCTAGAAGCCGTATATGGGCAGCAGCGAAGTATGTAGTTGCAGTTCGCTACTGTAGAAATAAACGGAGAATAAAAGATTAAGTACAACTGATAAAAATTGCGGAGCGGTTGCAGTCTCATGTAACTCGTCCATCATGACTACGGTTGAAGGCATCAAGGCATTATTAAAATATACTTGCATTTAATATAAATTATTTCCATAAAGATAAGGATGAAAAGTTCAATATCCATCGCTATTCACTAAGACACTATTCATGCAGAGAGTATGTGTATGCCTGAAACCAAATAACACATCCCAAAGACTATATAAAACTTCGGTAGTTTTCATTCAATTTATAGCCATTTGGCAGATTTGCTAAACAATGACTATGTTTTGATTTATGCATGTTTAATTGTATCCTTGACATACAGGGTGTCTCAAAAAAACCCAAAATCATTGAAATAACGTATTGTTCGAATTTCAATGCCGTAACACAAAGGATTTTGACAGGGTGATTAATTTGTTTTAAAAAATTAAAATATCTTTGTAAAGTGAACGTTTGTTTGCTCATGGGAATTTAAAAATGCTTCGTAATATGCGTAATATGCATTCGTGGGTTCAACCCACTGAGCTATAAATATAGCTCAGTGGCAACCTCGTACCCAGGGCTTCTGCGCTTATTGCTCTCAGAAGCCCTGGGATAATCCAACTCAGAACGTGATTTGATTGGTCAATGCGAATTTTGGCAACATGGCTGCTATCACAAGGAGTGTATACAAAAGTTAAATGCTGGTTTTTGCATGAAAATACTTTCTTAAATCAAATTCTGGGCTATTTTGAAAAGAGCAAAAGAAGAAATGGACTATTTGTATTTGTAAATAAGCAAAAATGGCGAACAAAGTAAAAAATTAACATAAAGCGAAACATTTCTCGTTCGAAAATTGAAATTTCAAGTATAAATCTGCAACTTCAACCACGATATTCAATGTAAATATTACATAATACAGTTTTTAATATCTTTTTTTTATTAATTACCTTTATTTGATAAATTGTGTGTTCTATATTATTGCATTTTGTATTGGAATAGGATAAGTTATTAATTATACACAAATATAATATTTAAATTTGCAAATTATTCCCAATTTGAGGATGCTGGGTGCACTGCTTCAGAGTTTGTATTAGTGCCTATTTATTATTGAGTTATAAGTGCCTCTAAATCTCTAATGTACAAACATTGTAACCTGTTACTTAATACCATAAAGAAACTGTTGATAGCACATATATTAAATGACTATTAATCAAAATAAAGTATTTACTTTAGTATTTACTTTATTTGTCATTGTCTGGAAATATTTACTTCACAGTTGGGCAATATTGGCTCATTATAAAAATAAATAGGAGAAATCATTCCCTCAATATTGGAGGAAATATGCTATATAATAGTCGAAGATTTCTTCGACTATTATATAGCATATTTCCTCCAATATTGAGGGAATGATTTCTCTTATTTATTTTTATAATAAGCCAATATTGCCCAACTGTGAAGTAAATATTTCCAGACTGGTCTAGTCTGCCCAACAATCTGGCCCGCCCCATACGCCTATGGCTAGGCCTACAGGTGGACCCCCAACCTGATCGGTCACAAGTTTTCTTTCTCCAAAATTTACCCTCCCCATGTACAAGGATTGACAATTTGACAACTTGATTAGATTTGGGGAAAAACCGCTGTTATATCCACAGAGGAAATTGAAAGTTAACCTCTCGTACCCCCTTGGATGTCCTAATGCATTTACTATTATCAGAAACAATTTTTTCCCCCTTCCCCTCCGGACGGCAGAAATTTCCTCTGTGGGGGGAGTGTGGATCTTTTCTGAAATGACCCATTTGAGAAATGCTTTTGCACAAATTTTAAATTTTCTTACAAACACAACTCATCACTGTATGTCGGAACACTGTTCTAAGTTGCAACTAAAATCCAGAGGTCTGAAAGGCTCAAGGGGAAGGGGTCAAAATATTTGAAATGTTCTAGACTTGTTTGTAGTTAAGTTGAGTTGAACATGTATTAACTGCATGGTTATTTCAAATCACCAAAACACATTAAAATAGCCCCCCAAAATGGCAGTTTACCAACTAAAAATTTAAAAAAGTCTACATTGTACTATATTATAAATGGATAGCTTTGGAGTCCAAATACATTTTTACATAATAACAAATATTCAAATTAGTGCAGGCCCCTCCTGGGGATTTCAGTCCCCCTTGAAGGCCTTAATTAGAAATCCTGGCTACATCACTGCTCAATTCCATTGCCATGCAGTGGTGTTAGCATATAATTAGACAGAGTATGTTAACAAACTAGTGTGTATTATGAGATAATCCATTGAGCACCAGTCTCTCTCCCAACATATAAAATCTGGTGTTAGACAGTCAGAGTAAAATAAAAAGTAGGACACAATGTATAACTTAATAGGTAAGGTCATTAACCAGAACTAAATGATAAACAATATTTTATAACATTAAACCCAAATTAGTTCAGCACCATTGGTTCTTATAACACTGTTCATTCCAATACTAGAATATCAATTAAAATGTATTTCAGTTGGCAATTAACAAAAGTTGGGGTTTCATCCGATGACATGTATGCTTCTAACCATGCTGTCCATGCAGCTATCTGACAGTTTTTAATTTTCAACATTCCCAAAGCCATTATTCTCAAGATTTGCCAAAAAGGTTTTCCAAATAAGTACATTCTTCAAGTAGATGCATGTTTACAGTAATCTTGTGTATTTATGATTAAATCGACCTGCAATATCTTGTTCAAAACCGTCAAATCCAAGATAAACGACAGTCAGCCATATTACCAGTAGGATTTCTAGTTTGTTGACCTTAAAATGGCCAAGGTTTTACTCGAGTATAAATATTTACACTTTATTGAATAGCCCCTGTATATCGCTGACCACGTATTGCTGCTTTTGTCGCGGTATAAGATGTTCTTTTGCACGCCAAAGGGCTTATTTTACGCATAATTGTATCTCTAAATTGATCATTCCTGACTTTAAATTCCAAAAGCCACGCGAGAAGCAGTTTAAGACGTCTTTACAAGTCCAAATATACTAAATTGCAACAAATAATCCAGTCTCACTCTTGCGTAAAAATATGCCCAGTCAGCGTTTTTAGCTGGATCTACTGTTTACTTCCGCTTCCGGGGGCACCACTGTTCTATGGTGTTCCGGTTTGGATAATCCCAGGGCTTCTGAGAGCAATAAGCGCAGAAGCCCTGGGTACGAGGTTGGAAAGACCCTGGCTGCGGCTGGTCACGTGCTTCATCAAAAATTTAGCGCCTGAGGGGGTGTGGGGAAAGTATCAAATTACATCAACATGCTTCCAGTGGGATATTCGTTAAAAACATAGATTTTGCGAATTATTACGTTCAAAATACTTGCTAATTTTTGTTTATTTTCTTTGCTTTGAATTTACAAGAACATTTTTACATTCTTACTTACAGTCAAGTCAAGAAACCAAGCAAATCGTTACTCGCAGTGCTCTCTCGTGTTGTTATTCAATGAATGCTCTCTTCACACTCGAGCGCGGTTATAACAAACGTTTGTTGTAATGTTTTTAAAATAGGCCATTACATTTGTCCTTTCTTGTAAACGTTGATACGCTTTGCACCGATTCACTTGTTAATACGCGTCTTGTTTATAAGATTTTTAAAAGAAACAGTATTGTCTAGGACTGGCCCAAATATTAGCAAATGTAAACATTTGATAATAGCCGAACAGAGAAATGTCCATAAGCATAGAGGAAATTTCAGTCATTAATTTATCTGGATTTACTACATAAATTCGTATTCGGTAATTATAGTAAGACTTTAGCCTTTTTCTTGGTCTCTATTAATCATTATATTGTGCTAATATACTATAACTATATCACAAATTTACAGTGTCAGATGCGCACAGACCGTCATTTGGCGTCATACGAATAGACATAAATTTTCGAGTCTTCTACTTCTACTAACATTTTTAAAGTTTTCATTGTGAATCACCTGTTTATCTCTAATTCATTAATCATTTGCTACTTATATTTATTTGATAGTGTCAATGTCATATAGTGAATAATGCGTTTACATACAAGCAATCCTGGATATGATATAGACGATGCAAGCTGCCCATTAAAAAATAACGGTATTCTATTTCACAAAGCAAAAATTTAAATCTCACTTGTATATATTAAGAATGCATATAAAGCAAAAAATTAAAGCTTATTCATGTCAAAACGAAAGCTGTTTACAAAATTTATAAAGGTGGTGAACACTATACTAAACAGTGCTCATTGAAAGACATGTATAATATAGTGACATATAATTTGCCGTTTGACTTATCTTTGGTGTATGATTTTAATACCGTAGATTTTCAACAGACAGCTATACTTTGACATATACCATGATCGTTGGATTCAGCAATGCCAAGGGCCAATTTTATAGTCTTTTGACGGGCTTTAAGTTTTTTGATAAGGCCTTTATATAGATCAACAATCTGGATACAGTTGGCGATATTTCGGAAATCAAAAGATCTCGCTATTTCGTTGCAATTCCACATCTCATCAATAAATAAATTCTTTTGGTCCGAGTATCAGGATAAACTTTAATACTAAATAAATAACAACCACACTGTTCGGTCTAGAGATATATATTTTCTTGTAGGTTTAATCACAGTTTAATATTGCCACGCTGCACAAGCGGCAAGCGTGCTTTCTTTGGCAAGTCTATAATGAAATCTGATCCAACTTGCTTGAATTGTAACTCGACACCAGATTATAGAGTAGAACGTCACGATATAAATATTAATTCAAGAGTTCTCTTTATAATTACGATTTCTTGTTGCAAATTTACAGTAAATTTCATCACCCAAAGTTGCAATTTTAAAACGCTACAAACACGCTCCTTTCCCACCCCTCTCACAGTTACAATTAAATTTACCTCCCAGAATCTGGGAGGCACGTGACCAGCCGCAGCCAGGGTCTCTCCCAGATGACAGACGGAGAGACCCTGGGAACGAGGTTGTCGTGGGTTTAGTACTTTATGCCTGACATAACAAGTTTACGCTGAGTATTACCATTCATTATAGCAGTTATGTCAATCTTTTATGCACTCGTGGGATTAACTTAGTGCTAGGGCATTGAATATCGAACAATACGTCAATTTCAATGATTTTGGGTTTTTTTGAGACACCCTGTATAAAACAAGCTATCCTTATTAACATAACTGAATATTCGTTCGTTTTCGTTGAGTTGTGCATGTTAACTATTGGAACGGACAAGAACATTTTTCTTTGTGTTAAAGTCATTAGTTCCAACCCAGAGCTCACAAGACAAAGAGAAATTTTCTTGTCCGTTCCAATCCGTGGATAATTTTCCTGAGTGGAAATTAGCCTTTACTTATACATTTTTGTATTCAAGCCAAAGCATACATTATATATATTTGCAAATACATTTGCCTTTCGTTTACCTCAAAAAAACACAACAGTCTGTTTCATCCGTATAGGATGAAATCCCTATACGGATGAAACAGACTGTTGTGGTTTTTTGAGTTAAAACGAAAAACTATACAGGGTGTCCCCAAAAAAGTGACACTATAGAAATTATCCTATTGTTATAATTTGAATGCCCTAGCACTAAGTTGATCCCACAGGTGCATAAACTTCTGCTTCTGGAATTTAAAATAAAAAAGCAAACCGTTTATTAGTGTAATCGTTTTGCTTGACTCGGGCGTTAAAATATTTGGACAAAGCGAATACGTTTTAAAATGCTTAAATGTAAATACAAGTTCATTAAATTCCCAGGCGTGTAATCACGCGCGTTTAAGAGCGGCTTAAGAACAATGAGATAATTTCTATAGTGTCACTTTTTTTTGGGACATCCTGTATATATATGTACTATTTAAAAAACGGGCAGGAGTGTTTTATTAGGTTTAAAGCCACGAGCGCGCAGCGCGAGTGGCTTTAGACCTAATAAAACACGACCTGCGAGTTTTTTAAATGGCTTCAAAAACGTTTGCATAATAAGTCAAATCTTTATATAAAAATCTTTATATAAAAATCTTTATATAAAAATCTTTATATAGTCTGCATAACAATGGTCTTTTGTTAAAGTGTTCTTTAGCTGGTATAAAGACGTATGCACGTGACTAATTTCTTACTCAAGATTGGATAATTGCTTCATGAATTATTAATGAGTTTTTGAAATATACAGTTTCTTTATGTATAAAATTCACTTATACAGTGTGTATAAAAAAAACCCTGAACCCTTTCAAATTCAAATTAGCTATATAAACGTATTGTAGTAATTTGACAGCTCTAATCACAGGCGGCCCAGACGTGTATTAGTGTATAGTAAATATATCATTATACGTACATGGTGTACACCCTTTCAAATTCAAATTAGCTATAACGTATTGTAGTAATTTGACAGCTCTAATTGCCTTGAATTAATAGTTGGTACGAACACAAGAACTCTTAAAAACATTTAAACTTTCTAATTTTTATTTCTTTGAGTTTTGTCCCATGAGTACAAAACCTAGTGTTCTTATCCAACCATTAATTTAAAGCAATTAGAGCTGCCAAATTACTACAATACGTTATAGCTAATTTGAATTTGAAATGGTTCAGTTTTTTTTATTCACACTGTAGAATTGTACCACACAGTAAAATTTGTAATGAATTTTATATTTTAAAATATATTTACTTGCCTACTTTGATTGTATGTGATCGTCTTTTATTTCTGGGCGACCTTACACTCTGTGCCTGCGACTGTCATCATAAGTGATAGGAATGAAAGCATTCCTATCACCTATGATGATAGTCATATCACCAATGATGATATCATTTTTTCATTCATGAACCATTGATGATTCATAATTTCATTCCTATCACCAATGATGACAGAGTGTAAAGTCGCCCAGAAATAAAAGACGATCACATACAACCAAAGTAAGCAAGTAAATATGATTTTAAAATATAAAATTAATTCATTACAAATTTTACTGTGTACTGTATAGTATAATTCTTCAGTGATATATTTACTATATATACACTAATACACATCTGGGCCGCCTGTGATTTTATTAATCTCGTACCCAGCATCTTTCTTTTATTTGATTTGTGTTATTTCTAAGGAATTCACGCTCTGCTCTAATTATATTTGATTTGCCTTATTTCTAAGAACCTCGTCCAATATACGATGATTGCGTCGAAGCTCATCAGAAGGCTTGTCAAGCGTAAGTATATATTACTTTTATTCAAGGATTATATTTTATGAACATTTTTAACACAGCCAAAATAGCTCGGTATAAAAAAGAATAAATTCAAATTTATAGCTACATGTGAAACAGCGACCAGTGAAAGAATGCGGAGCCCTGGAGCGCTGTTCCGGGCAAAAGCCCGGGGCAAGGGTACTAATTCCACTCGGTTATTTACACCCGGGGAAACGAAAGCAATAGGGCGTGTTCATCAATAATCGCGGGCGCGTGAATATGGTTCATGGGTGTCATGTGTGGACCTACTGATTTCAAAGGGATGACGAATTTCAGGAGAGGATTTTTGTAAGGACCGGTTTAGCGAGACACTGTAGATTTGGAATACAAATATTTGATTAAAAAAAAACACAACTCTGACTTTGGTGCATGTTTAAAGGATATGGCGATGGAAATTTAGTTTGTCTCATTTGAAAGAAAAATATGCCTCTGAAAACAATGATTTGTCCGCCATCTTTGGTAAATTTTTTATCTCGTTATTGTGGTTTTACTACCATTTCAGTGACGCCAAAACAGGGTTGACCGCGTATGAAACTACTCTTAGGTGACCAAATAAGAATTTATATATTTTTAAAATAATAACCAAGGCATAATTTTCGGCTAACAATGACCATAGTTGTCTCGGTAAAATATTTACTCGACCTTGCTGATATGAGACACAACATGCATATCCACAACAATCCAAGATGGTGGATAGCTTACTAATTTATCCTAATTTCGGTCAAAATAATTCAAGAACTAAGAACTAAAATATCAGAAAAGCTGCAAGAAATGTTCCTCATCATTTTAAATACCTTGTCAAACATGGGAACTATTTTTTATTGACATTTTGCACGCAACCCTCGCCGGAAGAGGTATTTCTTCCAGGACTGCAAATCAAGCCGCCAGCCGGTCATCGAACTTTGTCTCCTCAAATACCACCTTTTGTCCGACCATCGCGTTGAGCTACCCCTTTCCTCCCCTTTGTTTGAGGGCATTTCCGATATTCCGGACAGAGAATTTACTGATGTACTAAGGCTAGCTGGTATATATGTTTCTGATGCATTATTGCAATGCAGACCAATATGATCAGCTTCATGCAATAAGTACATCATGTAAATTTAAGAAAAAATAAAAACTTTACTTTGTTTATTGTCCGACAAAAACTGATAAAGGTCCGACCACGTTTTGCCTTAGCCAGACATTTGTCTTCCCAAGCCAAATAATTATTTTTGCATGCCTGCCCTTCTCGTTAAAATTTATCATTAAAAGGTGGTTAAAATTCTCCTTTGTTTAAAGCTTTCATGTGTTATGAGCAAAGGGAACGTTTTTGGCAGGGTCGTAGCGGCCAGGGGGATGTGTGTGTGTGTGTGTGGGTGGGGGGGGGGGGTGCAAATACCCCCCTCCCCCGACTCAATAATTGCTCATGAGTAATTTCAGGTAAATTTCCAGCAGATTTTCAGGAAATTCTTAGGTCATAATAAGGAACTCTGTGCTCTGAATCAGAATTAGAGTTAACAGTCGGTCAACTATAAATTAAAGACGCGTCGTGGCCTGGGGGTACATGGCCAAATACCCTTTCTGGCGATCTGGAGACTCCAAATTTCAAACTCATTTTCTCAATTTTCCTAGTCACATTAAGCTGTAAGTGACACCGTCACTTACAGCTTAAGAAAGACTGTAAAAATGCCATTAATTTCCGACGGTCTAGAGAATTTAAATTTTCAAAATATTTTGCTCGGTGCCAACCATGGTGGCGCCTCGCGGACATCGTAAATTCAGGTGAAA